GCTCCTGGAGGCATCCTCCTCCAGAAAAGAAGTGCATGATAGAGAACAGCTCCATGGAGCATTGTAACTCACCCTGCTTATCTGAATGCAGACATGATGCAACAAAAATCTGAGGATTCTCTGCTCTCGTTTGCCTGGAGTCTCCTCAAAGTTGTTGGCAGTTACTAGACTTACAGAGGCTTTTAAGCCTTCCCAGCTCTACCGAAGACAACTGTACTATGTTTTAAAGCAGAGTGTCACAAAGTCACCCATACATGACATATGTTTCTGTATTTCACCAGCTATTTAGTCTCTGCCAAAGATTCCGTCTTTGTTTAATGCGCTTTTCCTGTTAATATGTCTGAATTAGTTTGGTCTGGTTTTAATTCCAAGACAATAAGTTGGCTGTAGGCAGAGAGGTTATAACTAGAAACCTCATTAATAGTGTACGGTAATTTGCCCCTCATCTAGCAAAATACAGCATTGTGCAACTGAAATGAGGTGAACTACTTTGTACTTAAATGCATGTATGTTCCTTGTGGGATGGTAGTGACTGAGCTTATATGAGATGTTGTTTGGTAGTAAGCTTAATGGTAAACAAAATTCTGTGTGCCCTTGGTGAGCACCTAAATGCTTCTTTAGCAAAATGCTTTCACTGAGCTGTTGTTGAGATAGTCAACAACAACTAGTCAACTGTTGTTGACTAGTACTGTCAAACAAGTACCCTCATTAGAAACAAACAAAAAAAACCCTTATACAAAAATAGAACACAGAATTGAGGGCATAAATTGGCAGTATATGATTTGACATAATAATTTTGAGCTGCTAGCATGGTTAAATTTTACGGGTTTAAAGTTTCACCTTAAAGGGCAAACTTAACAGGCAAATAATTGTCTGTACTGCTGTATGCTGCTTATTTCTTGACTCTCACCTTGAGTAGTTAGGCAGCAAATTTGCTATCACATGGATCTATTCACTTTTAGTTTGTCACTTTTATTTAAAGACTTATCTAGAAGGTCAAATATTCTTGTTTTTTTACTTTTGGCTCATAACCTTTAAGCATGCTTTGATACCAATGTAGAATTAAACAACACATTTGCACATGATAATCTGAGGAACCGCAGGCAGATGTTAAAATTGTCCTTCCTTAATCTTCCATTTTTTTAAAGAAGTTGCAAATGCACCATACTACTTGTGTTGTTCTAGGCAAAAACAAGTCGTATTTTTGATATTAAAATGTGTGGTTCTGCATAATTTACGTATTTGTGTATTATCCCTATCTTATGCTTCTATCTTTGCATATTGTGATTCCATTGAAATTAGTAGTCAAACTCCAATGAACAACAATGAGATTAAGATTTCATAATGTATGTTTTACCTGTGATTCTTAATCACAAGCAATCTTAATTCTTTACCTGTGATTCTTTACACCTAAATTGAATTTACTGTGTGTTATTAGTCTCTGTACAGTTTTCCTAATATCAAAAAAATACCAGCATGGTGTATTTAAAAAAAAAAAAAAAAAAAAAAAAAAAAAAAAAAAAAAAACAACTCCAAAAAACAAGGTCCATAAGCTTTGGATCATGAAGTTTAAAAACTAACAAAGATAAGAGGACTTTGCACTGCTAGAACAATAAAATTCACACATCCTCAATTTATGTTCAGAGGGAGAATGATCTGTGCTAGTTCCTTTTGCTATGTACTAACATAAGGATGTGGCTATTTACCTTCCCACTTTGGGCAGACTTAGGACTGTAAGCATTATTATATTGAATCAAAAAGGATTTCTGCAGGCTTGGTATTTTTTCTATCCAAACTATTGGTAGATTTACATGCCTTGCATTTAAGTAACATTCTTTCTTGTTTAAGTTTTCTTTATATACTTTTTGTCCTGAACATCATAAATATTTTTATCTGGTTTAAGCTTTTGCCTCTCTAGGATTAGATTTTCTAAAAAGGCACCAATAATGACCAAGCATACTATACAAGGCAGAACAAAGAAGTTGCATTGCCTCAGGTCGTTTAAACCACTTTGACCTTCAAAGTGGTTTTTTGGTTTGTAATTGTTTTGATTTGAGCTTGGAATGTTTTCTTTTGCTATCTATGGCTCACAAAGAGAGAACTGATAGACCAAAGGTTAGATTTAGCCATTATTTTAAATAGCAACACTCATCCACTGCTATGAAGACTGTCAGCTGGGACACGGCTTGCTATTAAGACCTGAGAGGTTCAGTTACAGAATAAAAGGAAATCCCAAACACTTGACTAAACTCTACTGTGTTGGTTCCCAAGTTTGAAATTCATTTCATATCCAACTTTAATATAACATTTATTTTATGCAGGCAGGAAATTATTCTCCTGTTAAGTACCCTTGTGCATCATATTAATTCATTTACCCTGTTAGTAATTTAGTTTGTATAAACACGTTGGAGATTCACTAATTATATTTGTCTCCATTTCTGCTCAGCAAGACTTACACAATTATAATAATCAATAAAGGAAATTGCAGGGTCCCCAGAAATCTTCCTGAGAGGTCTCCAATCCATGCAGGTTTTGTGTTTAATTCTTTTGTGATATTTTGTGCAGTACAATCTCCTTCTAATCCAATTGTAGGTTGCTAAATCCTTCATGTCAATGCTTTTATAAGGGTTATAGAAAGCAAAGGCCATAAATATTGCCAATAGTAACTTTAAATCCTTTAATAACAAATACAGTGAATACTCATGTAAACTCATTTGCTTAGCTATGTCATAACTAGTAACTTAGGATTTGCAAACACTGTATAGGTTTTGCTATCAAAATGTTCAAAACTATCTCATAGCATCTTTAACATTTATAAGAAAACATAATGGTAGGACAAACAGATGCAGCACTAAATACTCATCTTTTGTAGGTCTTTTTTAAATTAAATCTTTGTTGTGTTGGGGTGAGGAGGAAATTCACATACGTTACTTTCAACTAATACAGAATGGATTAATGGACTAAGAACATTTTTTCAAGTTTGCACCCTAGGCCATCTGAACCTGGGATTTAAGATTTTTGGCTCAGATATCATCAAAACTACAGTCTGCTAACTTCTGATATGCATATTAAAAGCATGCTCTAATATACTTCTAAATTCCAATAGATTTTAATTAAAATTTAGGAGCCAAAACAGGAGTGTGAAACTTAGATGCTCTTGGTGAACCTAGGTCCAAGCATGTAAGAAATTTTTGACTTCAGACCATCTCTGTGATCTGCTGCCCTCAGGTTATGCTCTTACCCAATAGTGGCAATCTCTACTAGAACTACAAGCCCAAGAATGTACATGTATAAGCATCGCAGGAATTACTGCTTCCGTATTATGCTGTTGCACCCCTAGGATTAACTGTATCCAGGTCTAACCTCCCTTAGAGCTTTTCAGTTATAATCTCTCAGCAAACTATTCAGTGCTAAGCTTTTCCTGTAATGATGTGAATCTTCCTTGCTAAGGTAACATGTTGCTTCATCGGTACCTCGTATTGCCTCCATCTTTGCGACAGAGTTTGGCACTTCCATCACATCCCCTCCCTTTACGTGGGATGACTAACCTAATTACTGGCAAGTTCCTTCTAGCACCCGATCTGAAATATCCTAACAGCCAAATCAAATGTACTTCACATCTTTCTCGGAGTGGACGACGAGAATATCTTCTCTTCTTTGAAGCCATCGTTTTAGCATGTGAAGGATGCCTACCTCTCTCAGACTTCTCTCTAAACTAAAAAACTCTTCACCAGTCTTTTTGGATGATAAGTTTTCTATGTTTGTGATTGATTTTATCACATTAATCCTGACTTTATTCATCCTTCTTGAAGGATAGTGCTAAAATTGGACACAGTTCCAGCTCTGGCTTTAGTAGCTCTGTACAGAGCAGGATTACATCACATTTGGACATCCCAGTATGATGGGTCTCCTTTAAGCAAAAACAGGACATTATTGAGGGACACTTAGTGTGGAATTCACTATAACCTCCACATAATTTCTGTGGAAGTCAACCTAGCCAGTCATTTTCCATGCTGAATTTATTCAGCTGGTAACACACTGCTCTATTTGTCTCCATTTGGTTGCATCTATTTATTTTTCTTTTGCTATCAAAAATGTCCAATTTGTCACAACTGTTCCCCATTCTGATTCTGTTCTCTGAGGTATGTGCAGATTCTCCTAACTTTTGAGAAGGAGGAAAATGTAGTTTAACCTTAATTCTTTACAACTAAATTAGTATAAAAATATATTGGAAAAAAAACCCCAAAAAACAGGAACTATAAACTGCAGAAAAAAAGGAGCACCTATACTTTGCACAAAGGAAAAAAATAGAGACATTCATTAAAAACTATTTTGTTTTAACTGAGCAGATCTGTCTTTAAAACAGATATGGAAGGTAATTTGAGGAATTTCCCATAAGAAACTCTGTTAAGAGAAATGAATTGCATTTCTGTAAGTATAATGAAAATTTCACGTGATACCCATAATTTTTCATTTATTTTTAATAAGTGACTATAAGTACGCCACTCATTGATTTTGATTGACATAAGCACAAGGTTGGAATTAATGTATCTATAAACTGACTTGGAATTGCAGCTGCTTGTTCGCGTACTTTAAACAGGATGCAACAGGCAGGGAAAACACGATCTGATGAGGGTAATCTCAATTCTCTAGCAACATGGAACTGGTGTATCTTTTTAAAAACAAATTATTAGTGCAGTATGTTGACCTATGACGCTCCCAGGGCAAGAGCAGGACACACAAGGCCAGGAAGGACCAGGATACACGTAGCGCTTCCAGCTGCGCCATGCCACTTGCGCGCCAACAGCTGACGCGGCTCCCACTGCCGCGCACTGCGCATGCGCCCGCTACCCTCCCTTCGGGCAGAGGTGCTGGCAGGGGAAGGACGGGCGGCTTTAATGACGCTACTGCGCACACTCCGCTGCCCGCGCATGCGCACTACCGCCTGGCAGGGGCCGCTGTCCGCCCCTTCCCTGCTCCCCGCCTCCCCTCAGGTCCCCATGGCGGCGAGCGAGCCGGACACGGCGCAGCAGCAAGTGAGCGGCCGTGGGGCAGGGGACACGCGCGGGGGAGGACAGCTTGCGCGTGGCCGTGTGTGTGCGGGGAAAGTCTCGCGGGGGCAGCGCGGCCCCGCCCCCTCCGTCATGGCAGGGGCGGGGCTGGCACGTGGCGGCCCCCAACGGCCACCAACGGCCCCCAACGGCCGCATCGGCGCAGGGGGCAGGGAGTAAAATGTAGGGGTTGGGGAGAGGTGGGCGAGGTCAGTTTGTTGTGTGAGTTTGCGCTGAAGTCCCAGTGTTTTTGCCTGCTTGGGAGTGAATTTTGTCCCAGTTGTTAATTGAACTGTAGAGCAGCATGTCTCAAAATTGTTCCTGCCACACTGGATTATTCTTATTTATGTTAATACATTCCCTTTTCTAGCTTGATGAAATTGAAGCCCTTTCGTCCATCTATGGTGACGACTGGTGTGTTGTTGATGAAGATGAAAAAGTCTATTGCATCAAGATAAGTGACTGTCTGGAGCAACCTAAATGGACCCTCTGCCTGCAGGTATTTTTCAAGTAGTGTTGTTAAAAGTTCAGCACAGAACATGTCACCGCACCACCCCACAAAACCCTATTCCTGTGTGAAACCCTTTTAAATAGGACTGAATATGGATCAACAAGCCTCCGGATCAGAGTGCCAGGTGCGCTTTTCAGTGACAGTTCCTATGCAAATGCCATGTCTGTCAAAAACTAATGCCAGTGAGTTTCCACAAGACTATTAAAAAGTACTTTTTTACATTGGCTTCGCACAGAAGTGAGTGTACCAGCTGTGGCCACTTGTAGACCAGAAACTGAAATCAGATCAACTGAACTGAGTAACTTATTACTGTGTTTTTACAGCACTGAAAATAATAGATTTATTTGGAAGAGGTAACATTGACATGTCAAATTACGCAAGTACACATTCCCTTAAATATATCCAACAGCCATATGTGCAGCTGTTTCCATGCTTCTTTGGTTTTATTTGTTTGTATGACATTTATTGCCCAAAGTCTACACTGTGGAATATATTACTTGTATGTGTAACAGTTACTGGAATTCTAAATATAAATGGAAAGGTTTTCTTCATTCTTCATATCAACAAAATCAAACTGTTTTCTTCACCTGGAATAGTGATTGTCATCCTAATGTTCCACATCAGAGTGTGTAAGTGAAGCTCAGGCTGTTCAGTGGAATAGTCAGTGAATACTTACGTGAAATTTCTTTCAGGTAATTTTGCCTCCAGGATATCCAACTGCAGAGCCGCCTATTTATCAACTAAAGTAAGTGACATTTTTTGTCCAAAAGTTTCAAGACTTTTTTTTTTTTTTAATATCTGTATATATTTTCTGAGTTAGCACTATTAATTTTTTAAAGTGTAAGTTGAAGTCTATTTCAGATAACTCCCTGAATTAAAATATCCTTGGGATGGGGGTGTTTCAAACAAGAATGTTACTGGTTCTCTCAAGCTAGCCTCATGGATCCTCTCAATGACAATTAATTTTGTAAATGTAATAGCTGCTACAGTACTGAAAGAACCAGAAAAGAAAGCTTCAAGATGTATCAGGCAACTCAGGAGCAACAATAGCCTACAATGAAAAATGAGGTGAAAGTAAGCCCAAGGACAGCGTTTGGAAGGGAAACTAGATGCTGCTGCTTTTACCGAGATTTTTAAAACTGAAATCATGTTCAGCAGGAATGATTGACAAAATTTTACTTATGTGTTTTCTGTCACGTTTGTTTTAAATGAACATTTGCTGAGCTCGTTAGAGATGCAGGGAATGGTGTATGGGCATAGTTTTCATTGTATTCTTTTCATCCTAGTGCCTCTTGGCTTCGAGGACAGGATTACATGGAACTAGCAAATAGCTTGGAAGAGATATATGTGTAAGTAATAGAGAGTGGAACATGTTTAAAGGAGACAGTGAATTTCCAGTTTTGTGTCATGCTCTGTGTGGGTTTTTAAGTGCCCATATTAGTCGTTACAAGATGATTGTTGTATTAGTCATACAAAAAGTATTACAAAAAGTAATTTCTTTTAGAAATCAAACAGTCAGATATGCTGTATGTTTACTATACTTGACATTTTGTAACACCTAATTGTGCTAAACCCTATGATTTATTTCTTTTTGACTGTTTAGACTTGCTGCGCTTTGTGGATAGAAGTCTTCATTTCCTCCTAATCTGTGGTTGTTTAGAATTTTTGAGATTCTTAAAGAATTTAGTGCTATGAAATGCAAGATTTCTGTATCTCTTCTATATTTTGGTATTAAACTGCAGGATGTGGAAAATCTTTGTTGATATCTTAAAGCAGAGAGGCAAAACAATTTTGTATTAAAAACAAAATTTCGGCTAAGGGATGAGTAGGCTTTTAATCAGTTCTACACACGGTTTAATTTACTGTAACTGTAAAGTAATATAGACAGTTTATTGTCACAGCAGGCAGCTAACAGCAGCAACTCATAACACATGAGAATAAACATAACATTTAGAAATACTCAAATTATATGATTTTATAGTGCTGTGAAATTGGGGTAGTTAATGTGGAAATTGTAAATAGTTTATTTAATCCTTTTAGATGCCCAGATAATGTAGATAAAACAAAACTGAAATATATCATAACCAAGAATGATTATGCCTAAAATACTAAAATTATAATACTGAGCATAAGAAAAGGATTGCTTTTTAATGACATGTAACCAGGAATGCGGTATTCTAGCCTGCATGAGGGGTTTTATCTAATTACAGTTACCTTAGGTCACTGAATTTCTTAGCTGAATAGCAGATAATTAAAGCAAATAAAATGGAATTGTTAAAAATGGAAGAGGACGCTCGGTAAAAAGTTATGTGGGATCATATTAACCATCAATATTCAGTGGTGCAGAAGGAGCAGAGATTGAGAGTCTCTACCAAGAGTGGAGCTTCTGCAGGTTGTTCCTATACTTTGTCCTGAGCATCTGGAGCAACTTGTCCCATGACAACTGCAAAGGAGAAGAGTGCACTTCCAAAGCACTTGTCATTGGGACAGTTTTGCATTTGGTTAAGTTACACTTCTCTGATCAGTCCCTGGGAGCTGTGTTTTGTCTACATCAGTTGCTGTTAAGAAGCCTTTCTGCTCTCTTGTCATTTTTACTTGTTTGGCAGAAAGTGAATATGCTTCTACTTTAGGCCATGCCTATGTTTTTAGACTGTTTCAAACAGAAAGTGATCTCCAAGGTCATGTAATGCGACATGTTAATTTAACAATTGCTCAGGTTAAACCGAGTGCCCCACGTCTGCAGTAACAACTGATGTGTACAGTATTCCTCAAAAGCCTTTGATCTGACACAAGCTCTGTGTAATTATCTGAGTAATTATCAGGTAAACACAGTGCATGGTTTGCAGGTGTTTTTTTTTAGCAATTGTTCAAGTGACCTACTTTGTTTCTTAGCCCTAATTATCTAAACTGCTTACTTTTGCAGTCTAAGAAAATTTGAACTATACTGCTAGTTATTACTTTTTATTAATAAAGGTGGGAAAAGCAGATAATTGCAGATCACAAGCCCATTTGGGGAGACCCAAAGCACTTAAAAATTGAAAATGCAACAGATATTTGGATATTTGGATTTTTGGATTTTTTTTTTTTTTTTTTGACACCGACAAGTAAAATTTTTATTGACGCAATATAGCTTTTTTTTTTTTCCTCAGGACTTAGGAATCTAAGTGGCAAGATTTAAAAAATAAATAAATAAAGAGCCTAGAAAGATTACCTTTAAGACAAAATATAACTTGCTAGTTGAAATCGGATTATAACTGTAGATATTGTTAGTTACTTGCTCCAAGCAGAAAAGTCAGATTCTTCTCTCTCTCATTCCAAAGCCTTTCAAATTCAAAAATTTCCTAATAACAACTCCGTATTAAGAAATAGACTATGAGATGGGAAACAGTAAATATATTTCAGATGTTGCTTAAATCTTGATTCTGTAGTTAAAATGCCATAATTAAAACAAATGTAGTCATTTGTGTATTGAAATGGTGCTTCTATGTGATAAGCAATGGCTTATCGGTGAAGTAGGGCACTGATTTGTTTTAGAATCTGTCCAAATTTTGAGAGTCCTACAAGTTTATAGCATCCTTATTGTTCCTTGAATATTTTTCTTGCAGTAGGTATATGTTTAAATTTCTTATTTTGTTCATCAGTAGTATTGAGCACAGTTAGCAAAGTCAGCATTTAAAAATGTAATTTTGTCATTTATATGTACTTTTATTTTGCCCCAGATGGTGGCAGTAAATATAAAATTATTAATGAGAAAGTGTGAGAGAGAGCCTAAGGCTCTAAAACTTCAGTTTTGATTTGGAGACAAACATGCATAGCTCATATCAAAATACTGTGAAGATTCCTTTCTGTAGCAACATTCTGAGTATTTTTTGAGTTGTTTGGGTGCTGCTGTGCTTGAAGGCAGTATTACTTAACTCTGAATGTACATGTGAAAAACACGTTTCTCACTGGTGCCACCTAGCTAAGTACTCCCAGACTTAAATCCTTATGGCTCCTTTAGGTCTGCTTTGCTCCTAAATTCTAGCACATCCATCCTGCCTGGGCTGCTCCACTTGTACTGCCACTGCCATAATATGCAGTCCCTCAAATTTAACCCTGCCTGTAGGTGTGCTGAGCACCTCAGTGGGAAAGGAAAGGGCACCTTTCCCAGGAAGAAGCTCTGCAAACTCAAAGGCAAAGACTCTCCTGCAGCTGCAGAGTGGCTGAAGGAAGTCGCCAGTGGCAGTACTTTGTTTTACAGAACAACTGACTAAAGAAAGCTCTGAGGCCGCACACCCTGGATTAGGATTCTTTCAAAGAGTCACTCAGTAAGGGAGACTGCACAGCTTAATCTTTGCTCCATTGCTTTCACTTTCCTTTGTGGCCACTTTCTATCAGTTGCCTGTTTTCCTCCATCACTGGTGCTTTTAATATATGTGACAAAAATAGTGTATAATGATGCAGTTTCACACAGAGAGATTCCTAAATAGACCCTTAAATGAGCCTATCAAAGCTCTTTAACACTCTAGACTGTATCTACTATTTTTGTATGTCTGAAATTTGCATGTGATGTAATGTTTTTAATTACACTTTTCAAGTGAAATCAACAAAAAAAGGATGTTTATTCATTGTGAATTTTAAACAACTTCTAGACAGAACCTTGGTGAAAGTATTCTGTATTTATGGGTGGAGAAGATACGAGAAGTTCTGATTGAAAAGGCACAATCATCAGATCCAGGTACTTCAGAAAATTGTTTGTTTCTGATTACTTTTTTTTTAATCGCAGAGTAAGAGTTCAATGTGGCTTAAAGTTTTATGGCCAGTTTTGTATTGGATCTAGATAAAAGAAAAGAGCAGTCTCTTTTTTATGGATTATTGTTTTACCACTGTGCTTTTCCTTTTTAAAAAACAATAGGAGAAAGAGATGGGGGGATGTCAGTGAATTAGAGTGAGGGCCTCTTAGCAATTCTCTTAGCAACTGAATTACTTCGGTGATAACCGAGTAGGGTATGGAGGATTGTGATAGTTAACAGTTAACAGTGATAGTTAACTTTGGGTGTTGAATGCACTCTTGGAAAATTGGGAGTAGCCTGAAGAGAAGACAAAATTCAGTTGAATATGCACATGAATGATTTTATTCAGTCTCGATTGAATTGTGCTATATTGGGGTGAAAATGTATCTGATCACAAGAGTGCAGAGATTCTTTGATTCTTCTGCACTTGTAAAGAGGTGCATACTGTTGCTTACAAATGATAGAGTTTGTGTAAATTCATAGGTCTTTTGAAGAACTGTTTTTCTTTTGTCATCTGCTATTAAATGCGTGACAGATGTTTATATACCTCTCGTGCACTTGTGGCGAAAGAAAATAAGTTTGTGGTGAATGTTGGTTTAGCTCTATCGGGAGTAAACAACTGAGGAGAAAAAATGTAGGTCAAGTTTTAGTCTTTCAGTAAACTGCATTTTGGTGCTACATCAAAATAAATACTTGTCATTGGCATCACTGAACGAGTGGATATTGAAAAGTGAAGGTGTTAAGGTCAGTATTGCAAATTTGTTGAGTATTTGGACTTCATGGCTTCTACTTCAACTAATATTTTTTTCTAGATCTTTTTAGCATGCTACATTGCATTTCCAGAATATTCTGGGAAACACCTGTGTAACAAAAACTCGCATCATAAGCCCTCTAAAGGGGTATCTAGATTGTGATAAACTAGCTTGTCTGTATGGTGGACTCCCCCTAAATCCAATTGCCTGAGTGATGGCAGTCTGTTATTTATGCTTTTGCTATTGACTGTTATTTTCCATATGTCATTTGCATGAAGACAAATACAACTGCAGGACTCCCAGAGCAGTTGAAAAATGCCCAGAGAGATGTTGAAATTTAATGATTTTATAACCCCATTAAGCAGCATTGTGCCATAGCTTTACACTTTTCCAGAAATGACCAATAAATGACTGAACCTCCCTGAATTGAGGCTATTTTGGTCTCTAAATTCAGATTGGATTAACAGTAGCATTGTGAACATTTAATGTTCTTTTCGTCTTAGAAATAGTGTCAAAGTAGAAGGTATTATGTAATTAATTGCACATGGATCCTATATCATGAGTGTTCTGTTCCTAATTCTAGGCAAGCTTTTAGCTAATAATGGCCTAAATATTTATGGTTTTCTGTAATTAATATTATTATTCTACATTTTGTAATTTGAGGAAAAGCATATGGAAAGATTGTATTAATTACCTTCTGTTAGCAGAACCAGATAATAAGAAAACCAGTGAAGAGGTTGATGAAGATAATGAAGATGATTTTCTCCTGGACTACCAGCCGGTTCAGGAAGAATCAATTAAAATGTTAAATTTTATTACATCTGAAAGCCAAGAAGGTAAAAATATTTCTTGTTAATTCTGATGAAATAGTTTGGAAGAGAGAGATAGACCTTAAAATTCTGTTTTTTACTTGACTTTTGAGTAATACAAATTAATAACATTGAAAATTACTGTAAAGTTTAATAACTTAAAAAATGTATATTTCAGTGCTTCTATATGTGAGCTTGTATACTTAACTGTAACTTATGCCTTTTTTAAAGTTAAGATGTTCCTCACTTAAGTAGCCACATACTTTGTTTCAGTACATTAAAAAGAAACATTTCCCTGTTTGTATTCTGTAGATGAAGAGCTGCCCTTGATACAACATGGAAACCCAATCACAGACCGAAGGAGCACCTTCCAGGCACATTTGGCTCCTGTGGTGACCCCGAAACAAGTTAGTAGAGATTGAGGAACAGATCAGAGTGGTTCTGGCTATACTTTGTCAAAACACTCCTGAAAGACTGAAATTATCTGTCAATCAATTTATTTATCTTGTTTTATCTGTGTGTGCTAATATTGTCTGAGTACTCGCCAGCTTTTAGCTTGCATTATCACCTAAATAGTTACTCTGCAGTTGTTCCCAGTAGTTCCCAAAACTGTTTCCCAGTTTTATTATTGAAGAGGGTTGACATTGCTGTTTGTTTCTGTTAAGTGCCTTAGATGTGAGAGAGAGGAAAAGAACACTGATATTTGCCGCTTGGAGGTTGATAGTTTGTCATATGCTATTTGGAAGCTACTGAATCTGCCATATGCCGTTTGGAAAATGAAATAAATGATATTATGAATCTTTCCTCCAGGAAGGAATTCTATAGATGATTCTGTAGAAGAATAAACTCACAGAAACAGCAAATCTTTATCTAGAATTAATTGAGAGGGATAAGCATGGTTATACAGTTGTATTTGTGTACAATTAGTAGGAATATTGCAATAGTTCCCATTGATCACTGCAACTGTGTCTGATACAGGCAAAGAGTGGATGTATTCCCAGGTAGGATGGCCATATTTTGTTTCCCAACATCCATCCCAACTTTCAGCAATTTAACACATTTTTCTTCCATTCATTTTGTCAGCTTGTGCTGAAGCCTGGCTTTGCAATAAGTCACCACTATTACCATCCTCATCTTACTGTTTAAATTCATAAACACTACACAGCTGTTTAGCTTTTGTGCTACAGCTGTATCTCTGAGTACTTTTTTTATTATGTGTTGACAAAACACACTTCTGATAGGCTTCGTTTCATATATGTTTGGAAAAAATATCATTATTACTTTCATTTTTACACCTCCAAAAAGTTTGACTTGCCTCATGATGCATTTCTCATCTGCGTTGCCACCTGCACCTTCTTGTCATGTTTATCTTTATTTGGGTATAATTGCAGTTTTGTGAACCCAGATTCAGTTTTCTTGAACTTTTCTTTTAGAGTTTGTAAAGTGATAGTAATTATGTTTCTAGGCTTCCTGGGCAATAACTCAGGAGTGTTAAAGCACTCCATTATAGCTTTTGTTAAAGGAGCACTGACCCTCAAAAGTTTTCTTAGCTCTTCCTGTGAACAGTGTTGCCTCAGAAAGAGAGGAGATCAGGGTCAGTGGCCTAATCTCCTTTTGTCTTTCGCTAATACTGTCACTCATTGCTGATTATTTATAAGACAGTTCCTATACCGGCAGACATGTATTTCCAAAATTCTTGACACAATGTCTGTGTCAAGAAAGAGCATTTACTTAAAGCAGGAGAGTTATTTTACAAACGAGTACATTCTTAAGTTCTTCTTTTATGGCTTCTCTTTAAAGACAATGTAACTTAATAGACCTGGAAATTTCAGGTCAAAACTTTTTGATATATGGTGAGTATAAAGGTAGAGCAATTCCCCAAGGGACAAATTCATCTTTTTTTTTTTTCAGTGAGTCTTGCTGCACAGTGAGACTTGATTGATCTCCACACTGCAGGGCAGTTTTGCTCTTCTAGAGATTCATTTTTCTAAAAAAAAAAGAGGCAATAGGGGTGCAGGGTGGGATAACCATGGCACTTGTAATAAAAGGTTCTTGCTCGTCTGTGACATGATCAATGCGTGTCTGTAATGCTCCATCTGCATCATCTGTTTGTTGGTGTGATTTTTAATACAGTACATAGATTGCTGTGTAAATTCTTTTATTGCATATATTTATACTGGAATCTCACTTTTACTGTTGTTTTCAATGACAGCCAGACTAGTACTGTAGTTGTTTTTGTAACAGAATGTACTGCTATAAACCATAGGGAAAAGGAAAGCAATGGATGTATTTCGTGTAGCAAGCTGCATTTAGTTCCATTGCTTTTCTTTGTCGCCCTTTGGCTCATTCTAATGCTTAAAAAGTACTTTGCTCTTGGACTTAACATTGAGTTTGTAAAATGGTACATAGAGCTGACCCGTTGTTTAAGGATCTTTTGTGTCTTTTATGAGCAGGTGCCTGACTTTCATGTAGAGAATTTACATCCCTTAATTTTGAGACTTTCTTGCTCAGATAATCTGAAAGAGAACAGGAATAGAGGGGAGAAACAGGGCAAAGAAGGCTAAAGAGCTGCAGCGCCGAGAAGGGTATGCTATGGGCTGGTGTAAGGTGCCTCTGTCACAGGTTCTTTCTAATACAGACTTGGAATGAATCTTTAAGATGCTTTTAGGAGCGTGATAGCTAACAAATGACTAATGTCGAAGGTGGTGATCGTTTCATAGGCTTTGTATTCTAAATGCATTTACTATTTTTTTCTATGACTGTAATATATAATATATTATAATATATAATACTTACATATTAAGTAATATAAGTTGCCTTTCTTCTGCAGCCCTTTTGGGGGAGAAAAAAAAGAATATAGGTGTCTGAGGAAATTTCTCGTTAATAATAGAAGTTTTTCATTGAGGTATCTTATATTTGAGATAATTTTTTAAGTTTTCATTTGAAATTCTTCCAGAGAATTGGAAATCACACAGTATAGCTAAAACAAATATTAAATATGTATATTCATTACTACACAGAGACGTTTTTCTCTTGAATGGAAAGCAGTTTACTTGCCTGCCATGTTTGCCCAAACTTTCTCAACTTCAATAATGCTTTGCTCAAAGTCATATCAATTATGTATGATCTGTTAAAACAATGCCTTGAGCAAAGCTGTCATCTTTGCTAGACCCAGCTGATAAGGGTTGAACAATTGTAGCTTGTTTAATTAGAAACAGGAGTTGAACTAATACTGAATTTCATACTGCTTAAGAGCAGAGATAGAAATGTTGTGAGAATATTTGTTGTCTGGGAAATGCTGACGCTTTCTGACCTTTAAAGAGAATGTAAAGAGAATTTCTATGAAATGGAAACACTGAAAAATTTGGTTTGAGAAAGGTCTATAAGTGAAACGTAGTAGAACTTTCTTAACCTCTCCTGTTTCTGTGGGTTTGGAAAAAGCAGTATGTAATGTGCACCCTGTCAAGTTGTATCATATTATTCCAGCATAAGATTATTTTTGAAATAAGTAGTAAGGTGGAATTTATGTTTAATATTGATTTGGAAACGTTTTCTACATTCTGCTGCCTCTCCTGTTTTGTGAAGCGAATTGGCACCTTTGCATATTCAGCAGTAACGTGAATTAAGCACACTGTGTGCTAATTCAAGGAACAGCACTTCTCAATATCCCAGAAAAAGAATTTGAAATTAGCTTTAGGGTACTGATAAGATGTTCCTTGAGTTAGAATTTTTAATATCTATTTTATTGCTAAATATGTCAAAGCTTAAAACTGTTTCATTTTGTTATTAAAAAGAAGACATTTGTTTAGCAGTTCAATTGAGAGAATGTGTACAAAAAAAACTTGTAAATTATTTCTGTTTTTTTTTCTTTAAAGGTAAAGAGAGTTCTTGAAAAATTATATGAAAATAAGAAAATTGCAAGTGCTACCCACAACATATATGCATACAGGTGAGAGCTGAACAGTGATTTTTCAGTATTTTTTTGACAGTATGGGAGAAAAATAAAATCAATTAAAGAAGTTCTTTACTAATAAATCTGTGTAGAAGTAGGTTTCTTATTCATATATTAAAGGTTTGAGGTTTTATTTTTAATTTGAGATTAAGAAAGTATCAGGAAATAAAATAGGGGACATCTAGAGCACATGGCACAGGGTTGCATTCCTACATCATAGTTCATACTTAAATCTCATAGACTTAATTTCAGATAGGTTTAGGCTCAAAACTGAAAGTCTTTCTTAACAGGGGCTTTGCACTCATAGTAATTGTGAGTTAACTTGAGGTAGTCTGAAGAATTTGTAAAAGCCTCTAAACTCATATTATTCTGTACAGATAGATAATTGTGATTTACACTAAGCTTCATTCTGTGTTCATATAAGTGCCCTTAGGAAAGTGAATCTTTATGAAAGATTTCTGAGACTTGAGTAATCATGTGAAAATGTTAATTGATTAATATTTTTTAAATCCATTCTATTTTTTCTTTTTTTTTTTTAAGAATATACTGTGAAGATAAGCAGACCTTCTTACAGGATTGTGAAGATGATGGGGAGACAGCAGCAGGAGGACGTCTTCTTCATCTTATGCAGGTTATAGGAATTTGACTTCTGACATTCTTTAATAGATTTTTAAAATCACATATGTGTAAATAAATTTATACCCATTTATTAATTCTTGTTCTGCTCTTAGTCCAGTGAATGGTTGCTTTCTGGGACATGAAAGAAAAGTATAGACTGCTGCATGCGTATAATAAATACATAGTTTTCCACTCTTTGATCATAAAAATTAGTACCATTTGTAGATTTTGTTAATAATTTGGAAAGTTCAAATTAACTTCTGATTGCTAAGCTTGCTATGTGATGCAGGTATACAGAAAAAGAAGACTGAAGCAAACTGATGCACAAGACAGAAGAGCTGACCTAAGCTCAATATTTTGTTCTATTTCCTTTTGTTGTTCTTAACGAGACTGTTTGAACTTGCAGAGTTGGACTTCAAATGGAAAAGGTAGTGAGAATGAGAGAGTTGTTTTGCTAACTTTCCATATTTCTTTGTGCTGTTTCCCATCTGGGTCCTTAGCCTTCCTGTTTACATACTTCTTACTTTTCAGAGATTGCAATAATATTCTCTCTGTAGAGTTTTTACTAAATGTGAACTGAAATAGAATAGTTGTGATTCACCAGCGTGATGCAAGTCCATGAGCAGAACCCCAAGTAGTGTACATAGGGAAAGATACAGGGAAGAGCAAGGTCCATTTTGCACTGTGCCTTAAGTTATTTAACTGTATGGGCATGCTAATTACTCAGAGGGAGGTATCTCAGAGATACCTGATTTATTCTGAGCTTATATTGAACAGAGGGTGTTTTCAGTCTGCTAATGTATACATCTGTAAGTTGCCAATTTTACAGTGTCTAAGCTCTTACCATTCTATAAAAAAGCAGTTTAGGAAATGACATGAAGTGATGCCTTTCCAATGTGAATGTGTATAAATCACTACATCTGCAGTGAATGGAGCACACTGGAATGCATTTGAATTTTGAGAGTTTGTACATAGGAATCAGAAAAGCTGATTTTCCACAACTAGGAAAAGATTAAAATAGTTTATGGGCTTATTCCTCCTCATTTTGGAGTGGTGATACGGGCATAAAAGTTGAGTGGTTTGCTGCTGTAGTTACAGGTCTTCTCTGTAATAGAAGTTTTATCTTGTTTCGGATAAACCTGACTCTTCAGTCAAGCTAGCATTTTTCAGTTTTAAAAAACAGTTTTGCAGATTAACTCTTAAAATTTAAAATCAGAGTTTAAAAAAAATCTGTTATGTATTTAGCATCCAGTTTACCCTGAACATTTGCTGTAAGTGGACTTTCTTGCTGATGTGTAAATGTAGAGCAGAAAATGCCCAACACAAACAGCCCCAATCCTTTTTTTCTGCTTTTGACACTATCCTTTTTGTTTTAAAAATCCAAGGAAATTTTTCTTACCTTCACAAACGGCTCTAGAATCTTCTGATATCTTTTTTCAGATTACAGAGATGCTTTTTTTTTTTCCCCTCCCTCCTTGATAGAAGTCATGGATGGTGCTTATCTGCTTACTGATAGCTGCCTCTTAAGGGGTTTTCCACCTCCTTCACCCCACCACTGTGTAAGCTGCAGAGGATGGTATTTTTGCAGAGCCACACACAAATAAAGCTGTTTGCTCTGCCTGACTCCAAGGCATCTGTAGCCATTAGTGTAGTACTGCACAGGATCTAAGATTAAACTGTTTTTTAGGGAAGATTTTCCACAGCAGTTTTAGACTTCCCAATTTGAGGGCCACATTCAGCATCATGGTCACTATTCTTGCAAGACTAATTTTAGCAAAAACAGTAGTTTGGGATTGTTGCTTCATGTTTCCCTGCACGAATATAAACCTGACTTAAACTGTGATCCGTGGGCCTTTGTGCTTCTCTTTGCGTCAGCTTTCATGTGACTTGCTCAGCTCATTCTGACTGGGCAATTTCTAGCTCTCTGTTTTGCTCAGATGGGGTAAATCTGCACAAGGTGATGGCTTTATACAAGTGATGAGCTAAACCAACACTTGCAATTTGATCTTTGAGACTTCAGGGTAACTTGGAAACTGGGATTTTGCAAAGGAAGTAAAGAGTTGATGGTTTGGCAAGACATATATTTCTCTCCTATATTTAGACTGCCTTTCTAATGTTTGTTTGCTGCTGGTGATGGAGATTGCCTTGAGGAGAGAATTGTTGTCAGGCAGAATAAACAAGAGTTTTCAAGTCTTGTCAAGTCATATTTAGATACTGTGAATAATAAGGTTTTGAAGATCTTCATTGTTTCTTGGCTTAAATGACAGCAAAAGCAACCATAATTTTATCTTCTGTTTGATTCTCTCCTTATTTATAGCTTTGAAAACCCCATATAAAGCTTTAGTTCTTTTCGGTCCTGTTTGCTAATGAAGACCATCAGCATGAAGTCTGTGTGTATGTGCTCATTGGAGGGTGGAAAGCTCCTGCTGGTGGGCAAGGAATCATGAATCAAACCTCTAAGATTCAGAGGGTTCTGTGTATCCTCAAGGGGCCCTTGCTGAAACCCTGCAAATGGCAACAGTCCCAGCTGTGGCATTTCCAGGATCTATATGGCCCAGGCCTCAGTTGTCTGTCCTCTGGCTGTCATTAGCTGCATACACCAGCATTTGAAAAGTGTGGAGGGATGGTTTGCCTAGTAGCAGGGGCTCTCTGGAAATAATATGCCATGTCAAAAAATAAGCATAACTGAGTAATACCCCTGTAAATAGTATTTGAGGGCTTTGACACCTGGATAAGCAACTGCAGTATCTGTGAGATAGGTTTGTCCCTCTCTGAAGGAGGTAGTGACTCACTGTGCTGTGAAGTTGCCTTTGGGTAAAAGCTCCAAAAGGGAAATTTACAGCAGAAGCACTGACTTTGTCTTTGTTACCCTGTGGTAACCTCTGTGTGTGAAACAGAGGTGACTGTAAGTTCTTCCCAAAAGCACAAAAAAAGGTAGGCTGTTTCTATATTTAAGATGAATGTCAGCAGCAAAACTACAGTGAAAAAAAAATATTTCTTTTTCTTTAACAGATCTTGAATGTCCACAATGTGTTAGTTGTGGTGTCTCGCTGGTACGGAGGTATCCTGTTAGGACCAGACCGTTTCAAACACATCAATAACTGTGCAAGAACGATCCTTGTGGAATGCAACTATGTGCATTCAGCGGTAAGTTACAGCCATTTAGAGTGAAGATCTTTATATGATAACTTAGAGAAACTGCCACTGAAGCAGGAAGGGAAGCAATACTAGCTGTGTCATCTTCTAGTTGCTTTGATGCATTCATAGTAAGTCCAGAATTATTGCAAATACTCAGGGCAGTTTTATCTTTTCAGATTGCACAAAATAGCATTGTTCTCTTTAAAACGGTGTTTTTTATCACTTGTTTGGCAGAACTGTAGTGCTAACAGTAAACAAAAAAGGGTAAAAATGAAGACACCTCTGAATGAAAAATACATGATGGTGTTAGGTGCCATGTGAGATCCCTGTATGATGGTAAATGTCTTGAAAAACTGGTGCAGGTGCAGTTGGGAAAAGAAAGTTTCCTGAACACACTGCTAGTAGGAACTCCTGGTCAAGTTGCATGTGTAGCAGTATTGACTTGAAAGATACCAGAAGAAGATGTTCTTCTTCTTTTTTAGTTACTATTTAGCAACAGGATGTTTTTCAAAAATGACAGACTTAATATTATACCCAGCCTTGTGTGGGGTCCACCTTAAGATAAAATTACAGCACAGCTGTGCTTTTATTAAAAACTTTCAGAGAAGCAAACTGTGAAGCTGCCTGCATGTCCTTGCCAGGGCTGCAGTGCCTGCAGGCAGAGCTGGGAGCTGCCTTTCCAATCCTGTCTGTAATTTCCCGTTGCATTAGGTGGCTTGGAGCAGATACAGGTGCCTGCTACCCGTTGTCCACAGAACGCTTGGTGAGAGAATACAGAAAAGACAGGGAATGAAGTTAGGGAGCTGCTTTATAAGCGTGAGGTGCTCACAGAAGGGTGACTGCAGTTGAGGGGATCAGTCCACAAGCTGAATTTAGGGGGTTGGGGCCAGATGGGGATGGAATGTGGCTATTCCTGCACATAGCAGGGACTGGCACCTGCTGCCAAGGTGGCTGCACAGGCCGCCCTGGCCACCCGTGTGCGTGCCCAAGTGTGTGTGCGTGGGCAGACTGAGCCTGGGAATCCCTGTCCCCTGTGGGCCGCTAAAAAAGTCCAAACTTCATTAGACCCAAAGGAATTTGCAGAGATACAGTGTGGAAAATACCACAGCTTCATTGACTAAAGGAGAAGACAATAGGTACTGTTTTTTTTTTTTAAAAAAAAAAAAAAAAAGCTAGACTAGGGAAATGTAAAGCAATTAATGTTAACTGTTTCAGCAAAAATCAGGAGGAAAAGTTTCAAAGAGACCTAAATGACTCAGGAGACAAAGTCCCAAATGTTTTTCAATGGGATTTTACCTCCTAAGGGGCATAGGAAATTTAATAAGCTAATATTCCTGTTACTCAGCATTTCTCTTGCTCTGTGTCTCAGCAGTGTATTTAATATGTGTGTGCACATTAAAATACATAATTGCCAGCAGTAGAAAGCAGCAGTGGAAAATCTAAGATGTGAGGAAATAATTAAAAATGTGAAAAAAAAGCCACTGTCTTGTGTAAATAAAAGCAGTTAAGGTTGCTGGGAAGGATGCTCAGCATCCAGCCACAGTTCCCCTCCCGCAGGTCACAGGTTGTCAGGTACTTGTTATTGGCAGTTTAGAGGTGTTTGTGTGTGCTTACTGATTTCCCCTTTGTGTCACCTGAGCAGTGTTTTTTTTGTTTTGTTTGTTTGTATCTTCCTCATAATATAGAAAATTATAATAATAATAAAATGTTAGGCAAGAGGCAAGGTTACTGGCACGAGTTCTGCGACTTGTGGTGGCAGATTCCTCACTGCACTAGGAGGTACCCCAGGTGAGAGCTTACTGTATTTAGTTAGTGAGCCTAATCTAACAATATTTTGAAACCCATCAAAAAACCCCACAGAAAACCTATAGCTACAGTCCTTGAAACTCAGATAGAAAGTGAAGTACTCAGTAATTGTATTTCTGATGTGAAGAAAAATCATGTTTTTAGAATTGACAGGGTAGACTACATGATACAATATTGATACAGTAAGACTGGAAGAGTGTCGTTTTTCACAGCGTAGGCTTATTTTACTTAAGGAGCTGGTTTCAGTGTACTGGTGTGTAGCAGTATATCTTTGGATATAGGCACATCCTTACTGGAAGGAGTTTTGCAGTATAGTGTACTAGAGCTCCTATACTGCTAAGCTCCTCCTTGCTGCATGATGTGCTTCTGTTGGTGTAGCTATGTCAAACAGTGAGGTTAGACCCTTCTATGTTGAGCCAACAATTTCAGCCTTGCTGAAGGCAGAAGTTTATAAATATCAAGATAAGCAGCAAAAATAATGAAACTTTCTGGTTAAAGACTCAACAATTGTTAAAAATTGTCATGAATACCAATAAGTTATGAACACTATCTCTGTTCAAACAAGTTTTATAGATGACCTTGAGATAGTATTAACAGTGTGTAAGTATGTAGGTTTAAAGTTTTGATTTGCTTGTTTTTTATTTCAGGAAGAATCATCTAAGCAGATGGGAAAGAGCAAAAAGATAAAGAAGGACAACAAGAAGAGAACATAACATTAACTTATTATTAAAAAATTTAAAGAATTATTTTGCACATATTTATAGAAATGAATTATGGACATTATTGCCTTATCCACAAGATATATTTTGTATTCAAGAGAAAATTCAGTAAAGTTAGAGATATTTTTCCTCTTGTTCTGTCATTTCTTCAGCAATTCTGAAGTGGCGATCTTACACAAATGAATTTTCTGCAGTATGTTTCAACTTCTTTATGTCCTGTGAAGGGCATCACAGTATACAGAATCATTTTTCCCCTCAAATAGGGTTGATTAATAAAATATGGATTATCTATCCTCTCTGTTATTGGGCTGGAACTCAAACACCTGCCTTGAACTAAAACTGGGACCATAATTTCTTGTCGTGAGGGTGAGACTGAAGTCATTAGGATTGTGCCAGTGACTGTTTTCTAAAGTTTTCAGTACCTAAAAAGAAGGCAAGTGACCCAATTCTATATGTAGTCTTGGAGAGCCTGGTCCTGCCTGCACAGTCTTGCCCAGGAGAACCTGCTCCGTGGCACTAGGGAGTCTGGACAAGGGTGCTGGGCTACTGAAATGTAAAGCTGCTGCTTCCAGATTTCTTTGAGGAACAAGCTATGAGCGTCAGACTCTGGCATCTTGTTGAAGAGCTGAGGATAAGTGTCCTGTAACTAAGGAAGCAGCAATTCCAGCAAAGAAAGTGGAGATTTTGACATCACACTGTTAGAGCTGGTAATAGTTCTATTATGTTAGTAATATTCTGAAATGGTGATGCAGAATAGTGGATTTAGAGAGGAATGTAGTGATGTAGAGTTGGAAAAATAGCAAATGTTAAAAATATCACAAATACTTCTAATCAGATTCTTTTTTTTTCAGATTAACTTCTGAACTTGATAGTCTTTATTAGCTAAGTATTCCAATGTTTTTGAAGCTTTCATTAGAGTTAATTGTGACAACTGCAAAAAGAAAGAAAAAAAGGCAAAAAAAAAAGTTTCTGGCTGTTCTGTTCCAGCTGCCACTGATTCCACTGCAGTCATAGTAAATGTGTATTCTCTTTCCAGAGACCACCTTGGAGGTTGAAAGCTCAGAACTGACAGGTGATTCTGAAGGTCTTCGCTTTTGGATGTTCAAACTAAGCAAGGTTTCTCTTCTTTCTCAGAAGTATTCATCCTTGTTGTCAAAACGACATGTTCTGGTGAAAATGAAAGCCCCCCCAAATGAAAGGAACAGGTTTCTTTGGCAACCAATCTCTACCCTAATGAAATAGACTCCTGTCATTCATCCACTTGATGAGCAGAATTAAAAATACAATAATTTAGAATGGCTGACAACAACCCTCTAGAAGCAGGTCATGGAAGTGGAGTGGTGTTTATATTTCTGCAGTTCTTCTCGCAGTGAGTATATGATATGCTGGCCGGCCATCCTTCCTGTGGACACACTTTTAGAGAAGTTGCATTCTCTTCCGTTTTTTGTTTATAAGCAATTTCTAAGTTTAAACTTCCTTTATTCTAAGAACAAGTTCTACATGTGACTTTGCAGAAGGGTCTTGCAACATTGGATTTTGTCCTCACCTTTGAGAGTAGTGCCTCAGTATTGCTTGTAATGTAAAGGACCTGTTATTGGTGTACTTCAGTTAGTAGCTGTGCTTCAGGGAGGCTGCATCCCATCATTTCACTGAATGCCCTTGTTCCTGCTTTGTCACAGGATGTAGCAGGAGCTGTTAAGTATTGGGATCATATAATTCAGCACTGACCCAGCTGCTGGAAGTCCTCGAGGTATGTCAAGAGTGTTTTTGTACTGGGACTGCTCCCTTCAAGAGGGCACAGAATATTTGCATCTAGGGCAAAGAGCAACAGATGGGGTGTATATTGTAATCCTTGCACTTTGAGAGTTGCCTATAGTGTATTTGCCATGTTAATAAAGACACCGAGAAGCAGTCTTCTTCAGAAACTGGGCCATGAAATGTTTTGTGGTTCATTCTTGCTGCAGAACACACATGTCCTGTAACCTGAAAAAGAAAACCATAAATGTGGCCTCCCTTGCAAGCAGTGACCTGGCTTTGTGACTCCATCGTGCTCTCCATCATAGTGATGGATACATTTGAATCTTGGATAGACGGGCATCTCTGATGAACTTTGACAGTGCTAAAATATATGACTTTTATGAATATTATTCAGGAGCTAATGTGTTACTCCTGGCAGATAGAGATTATTGGCATCTTTTCATTCTGTAGTAATTCTAGATTGGCACTCACCTATTGAAATAGTGCTGTGAAAACAAAATAGGTGACGTGGTGATCATGATAAGCCTGTCCTTTTGGTAGCTACTGCTCATCTAGTTTTCATGGTGCTGACAATTTCTCATTTTTGATTTTGGGTAACGTTTATGGATTTTAGAAGTTGTTATCTCCATTATGCCTCTATGCAGGGAAGAATGTTTTGCTCTTTCTCTTACATATGTCACTGATTTGCAGTGGTGAAACTAGGTTAAACTGCCTCATACTGTAGGAATGAATGTTTGTAGTCTATGTGAGCTAAAGTGCGCTGACAGGAGATGTGCTTAGGCTTGGCACAGCTCACTCCTCAACCAGTTAATGGGAATGGGATGAGCTTCTCTTTGTAAGGTAGTCTTTAACTTGGAGAGTTTGGTCACACAAACACAATCTCCATGTTCCTGTTAAATACATTATCATAATACAGCTACTCTAAACTCCTACTATTAAGCAATGTAGCAATCTGATCAATATACCATTGTAAGCTATGATTTACTGCTGTTTAGCCCAGGAATTTGCAATGCAACTTGATGAGGATTTAAGCTGTGTTAATCAAATTTTGTGTTCATGAACCAGCCTGTAGGATCATGCAAAGAAAAGGTTGCTAAAATGATTTGCAACAACTTTAATTTTATAATTAATATCCTAATACAATTTATACTGTTAACAAGCCAGAACAGCACTTTAGCAGTTAAGCAGGTTAACAGTGAATTTCTTGCCAAGTATTATAAATTGGTTTAAGACAGCTGCATTTAAGTTTGTATACATATCCTCTAATTATGGAGGAATTATAAATTTAATTGTTGAAGAAAATATGAGAAAGACTATAGAATTAATTCACACTTAAAATACAGTTGCTGGTCATAAAAATGTGTCAATAAATAATAGCAGAAAAGGGGGGATTGTCACTTCCATCCTTTTTGCCATTGCCTCCCGTCCTAGCTCTGTTTTACAGTTCACTTTGCTCTTCAGGGAATGAATCAGAATGCAGCTGAAACCACACTAGCCATTACAGAGGCCCAGAAGCCTGCCAGGTAGTATCAGAATGACTTATTTTTCATGTTGGGCAAACTGGAATGAATGTAGCAGCAGTGGGAGTTTATATCTGGTCTCTGATCAGGGGATTTTGTTAGCAAAATATCTTCTGAAGAACTACCAGGTGGTTTCTGTGTAAAAAAAAAAAAAAAAAAAAAAAAAGCTTCTGTAGAAGAGTCTTAATAAATTTAACACATCTGAGAAGTGCAGAACTTCGATGGCTCTTACAAAGAAATTCTAGCTCTTCTCTTCAAGTAGTGATGACAGAACATTTCATCTAAGTGTCCTATCATACATTTTGAAACAACCCGTGCTGAGGTATGAAAAGATTGCTCATTTTTAAAACACGCTCTTTGCAGCTTCCAAAAACGAAGGTAAATTCCTCTCTAATTGCAGCGCTGCAATTTTAGATTGTTTGTAATACCTTGATTTTGTAAAGCCTGAATAGTAAGCAGATAATTCAGGGTGATATTTTCAGTTTCCTATACTTTCTTTAAAAACTGTGGAAGAAAAAAAGGAAGAGAAAGAGGTGACATATATTCATGGATCTCTTCAGTGTGCTGATCTTTTCCCGAGGATTTGTTGTCTAGCAAGTTTTTTTTGAATCAAAACATCCTATTTTTATAGACGTATCTTCAAACTCTTTATATGTTTCTCTGACTCCAGTAGAAAAACAACAATTTATTCAGTATCTACTTAAGGTGTTTTCCTGGCTAGACAGTAGTTTTTTAGATTGATTTAATCATTAGCTACAGCCACACAACAAAATTCTGCAAAGAAAAAAACTTAATAGATCTGTTATTAAGCTTTGCCTATACTGCTGATGAGAGTACCCTTGGAGGTACATTCACAAGCCCCCCTATCCACAGCCCTGGTGAGGCCACATCTGGAGACTGTGTCCAGTTCTGGGCTCCCCAGTACAAGAGGGATGTGGAGCTGCTGGAGAGAGTCCAGCGCAGGGCTACGAGGATGATCAGGGGCCTGGAACATCTGCCCTGTGAGCAAAGGCTGAGAGAGCTGGGCCTGTTCAGCCTGGAGAAGAGGAGGCTGAGGGGGGACCTGATCAGCTCCTGAAGGGAGGCAGTGAGGAGGAGGGGGCGGCCTCTTTTCAGTGGTGGACAGCGAGAGGACTAGAGGAAACGGCCACAAGCTGAGGCACCAAAAGTTCCACAGGAACTTAAGGAAACATTTCTTGACAGTGAAGGTGACAGAGCCCCTGGCACAGGCTGCCCAGAGAGGTTGTGGAGTCTCCTTCTTTGGAGATCTTTCAAACCCGCCTGGATGCAGCCCTGTGCCCCGTGCTCTGGGTGACCCTGCGTGAGCAGGAAGGTTGGACTAGATGATATCTGGAAGTTCCTTCCAACATTAAGCATTCTATGATTCTATGACATGACAAAGGAAAGTAAGAAATTCAAAGGTTTGAGGGTTTTATGGTTTTTTTTTCTTTTAAAGTTTTTTTTTCCCACATCTTACTTTAAGAAGGCAGCCCAGTTATGCGTCTGTATGTGTTAAAGCTATGGTAATACACATGCTGCATGCTACAAAACTGAGGATGTGGTCACCGTATGGAGAGTCCAGTGCAGAACCGCCCCCCTCCCCGACTGAAGGCACTCCCATGTGTCTAGAAAGGAAACCTCTCGCGTGCTTTCCTCTTGGATGAGTGACTAGGGCCATTTATGGGCACCCAGTTTTATACGACAACTGCCCTAGGTTCAATGCTTTCTTGCCACGGGGCTATCACTTTGAACGAGCTGTTGTTCCCACAATGAGGAGGTGACACCAACCCAAAATCACAGTTTCCATTGGTTGTAAGGAAAGAGAGTGTAAGTATGACATGTACATTTTATATAGGATCTGTTTTTTTGGCTGTATCTGCGGCAGATTTCTTGATGTTCTTTGGATCTGAATGCAGAGAAGCAAACACAGACGGGACAGTTACCCTCCTTAGCAGCCCATAGAAGCACTGTAATATCTTTTATTTTCAATGTAATGCAGAAGCAAAAGGTCTTGGCGTACGTTACTGTTTAGAAGATGAAATGAATTAAATTAAGTGAATGTAATTTCTGATGCCCTGTTGGTACCCTGAGCCATAAATCATTGGAGGCAAGGAGAGCATATAAAAAAAATTATATCTTGCTCTATTCTTGCTCTCTTCTCTAGGCTGTTGATTGCTGATGCATACAGAATATGGACTTAGCTGAATCCTCAATTTGACTTGACCTTTTCACCACTATTTTTTTCAACCTTATAATAACTTGGATGTTAAAAACTCAAGACAGTTTTAATACAGTAGCATTACTTAGGACTTTTTGCCATGGTGTGTTTTCAGCCTTTTCAGCATTACTTGGAGATGAAATAAAACTTAAAGCAGAAACGGACATGCATGCTGTGCAGATATTTCTATGGATAATAAAGCTTTGCATTTCTCTACTGATACCATGAAAATATTTTGCAAAGCCCTTAACAAATGCTAATGAATATGTCCCTGCACATGGAGGCTACAGTGTTTCAATTGGAGTGTCTTAAACACCAAAGTGTTTTTGGGACCTGCAATTTTTTTTTTAACCATTCTGGAATAATCAGACCTCTCTGAAAATGGTACCAGTATTCATACAAACTCTAAGCTATTGCAGAATCATTCTCCCACCAGTTTGGAGAGAAAGGCCTAACCCTATTAAGGTTAAAAGCTCCCATTCAGGGAGTGTGTATTTTATTGCTTGATTCTAGGATGGTAGCAACTGGTGCTGTGTCACTGTGGCGGGTAAGAGCTTTACAAGTGATTTCAGTGAGAGTTTTGCAATCAGTTTCTGAGGATTGCACCATTATTGCCATGGTAAGTAACTGTATGTGTTCACAGTGTAATAGTTTTTGGTGCTAGGATCTCCAGAAAGAGGACCAAAAAAAAAAAAAAAAAATGCTGATTATGCCTTTGGATGGCAAAAAGCAAGCAAAACCATGCCTAGGGACAACAGACTTAGTGAAATGTACAGTTGCTAGATAAATGAGGGCAAAATCAGAAGTGTAATATAAAGTCTCAAGTCTAGGTGCCCCAGAATAAGAGACAACTTCTAGAAAAGTTGACATCCATAATGCTAACAAGCAAAACACTTCAAGAAAGAGAGAGAGAGAAAGAGCATGAGAAAAGAATGAGAGGATGGTGAGAGAGGGAGTGTTAAAGCAGCCCTTCTGACCTCTGCAGATAAGGATCAGGTTGCATAAAGACGACCTCACATTTTAAGATGTGAGCTTGAAAACACTACATAATTCTTACTGATAACTCTTACACAGGTTTAAATATTTTCAGATGCATTACTATTTTTAAAATTACAAAATCATAGGAAAAAATATCTTGCATCAGAACTCTTTAATTCTCTCCCCTCAGTTTGATGGGGTGACCTTCTGGTCTGGCCTCTTCATGTTTCTTATGAATCTTACCCTTTTGGCTAAGCCTGCGTGTGGTGAGTTTCTTCCCAAAGAGAACTGAGCTGGACACGCAGCATGCACAACGGCACCGTCGAAGCTCTGCCAGCAACGGGAATGTGCAACAGGACCGTGTCCTCACAGCCTTCCAACCCACCGTTCTCGCTGGGAGTGTTGGTGCTCCTGGCTGTCCTCATGGTGCTGCTCGCCCTGGTCACCATCCTTGGGAACGCCTTGGTGATCCTGGCTTTCATACTGGACAGAAACCTCCGGCATCGGAGTAACTACTTCTTTCTCAATCTTGCGATTTCTGACTTTGCAGTGGGTAAGTTGCAAGGGTGGTGGCAAGCAGTGTTTGTTCCTTTGCAATGTTAGGAGAGGCTGGGGTGTGTTTTGCTGTTTGGCTTCTTCTAAGATGCGTATTTCCCAGCTGTGAGTCCAGGGGAAGGATAAGGAATGTGGAAACTTCATTAAGTGTTTTAGCAGTCTTTTATTTCCCAGAAATGCATTATCATATGATAAGCCTTCTTTGTTAGGAGTGTAAATATTTGATAATGTTTAATGTTATTGCTTCAGGAAAACAATATTAGATATAGGAATCGATTCTGAATAAGAAAGAGGGGGACTTGTTTGTGAGTAGTTTGCAGTAAAGCCTAGATGCTGAAACTGGGCAAAGTACATATTATCTGATGAGTTTTGCACACACTGTTGTTACCTTTTAGTTCATTGTACTCTGATACAATACTGAGCATCACCTAAAGTTTCTCAGTGAGGAGTGATGAATATTATTTTTAAATATTTTATTGTACGTGACTCTACCTACAATCATACCTTAGGAATATGTATTTGTATAAGTAAATAAAAACAGCAAACAATTTATAGGAAACTTGATTGTTAATGTGCATATTTTTATACATGGACACAGTTACTTTTGAAATTGTACGAGAAAAAGTACAGTTAAGATGTTATCATGATGTGCAGTTGGAGATTGATGTACTGATATTTTCCATGAAGTGTTGCATATTTCTATTAGAAATTGGTTAAATTATTGTTTAGACAGAAGAATACTTTAAAATAAGCGTGGATATTTCACAAAATCTGTATTCTGACTTACTGAATGACGAACAGATTTATTAATAATTGAAATGGTTTTCATTTTACCCTTTTAATGCTGTGTATGTCTAAAAAGGACACTGAAAGAGAAGAAGACACTGTTCTAAAGTTTTATAGCCAAAACAGCCAGCATCAGAAATTTTGTTATGTGTCAGGTTTTTGATGTTCCCATCTTCATGTTATTGAGGCTCATGATATTCTGATATCCATGAGTATCCAGATCCATGATATTCTGTACAATATATCGATGCCTTCCCCTGTATGGACAACAACTTCCTTGAGCGTGTCCCTCCCTTGCTGTGCTGCAGAGATTGCTCTCTGCTCCGTGACTGCATCCCAAGCCTCCCTGAGGAGCTCCCCTCCTCTGGGCAGCCACTGGTCTGACTCTAGAATAGCATGGACCTCTGTGTGGAAATGGTAGTACTCTGAGTGCCCACATAGGAGCTACTGAGTCAAAATATTAAATTGCAGCCAAGTCAAAATTGAGACCTGAGCCAAGGCTGGGAGAGTTGTGCAGATGCACTTCTGAATCTGCCCCTGGCCATGGCCTATTGGAGTCTCTCCTGTTTGCAAACCCTCTTCTGCCTGTCCGTGTCCTAGGAGCACAGACTTTATTGGCCCAAGCAGGTCTACCTCTGTCGCCAAGCAGTGTTATATGGTGGGCACTCAGAGAGAAAAACAAGCTGTGAACAGAAAACTCAACTGATATGATATGATATCATACAATATATGATATGTGTTATATGATATGATGATGATACCAAACTGGGAGGAGTAGCTGATAGCCCTGAGGGCTGTGCTGCCATCCAGAGGGACCTGGACAGACTGGAGGACTGGGCGGTGAGAAATCTCATGAAGTTCAGCAAGGGCAAGTGCAGGGTCCTGCACTTGGGGAGGAATAACCCTGGACACCAGTACAGATTAGGGGTGGACCTGCTGGAGAGCAGCCCCGCAGAGAGGGACCTCGGTGTCATGGTGGACGACAAGATGACCATGAGGCAGCAGTGTGCCCTGGTGGCCAAGAAGGCCAACGGGATCCTGGGGTGCATTAAGAAGAGCCTCTCCAGCAGGTCGAGGGAGGTGATCATCCCCCTCTACACAGCCCTGGTGAGGCCACATCTGGAGACTGTGTCCAGTTCTGGGCTCCCCAGTACCAGAGGGATGTGGAGCTGCTGGAGAGAGTCCAGTGCAGGGCTACGAGGATGATCAGGGGCCTGGAACATCTGCCATATGAGCAAAGGCTGAGGGAGCTGGGCCTGTTCAGCCTGGAGAAGAGAAGGCTGAGGGGGGACCTGATCAGCGTGTATAAATACCTCAAGGGAGGCAGTGAGGAGGAGGGGGCGGCCTCTTTTCAGTGGTGGCCAGCAATAGGACTAGAGGAAACGGCCACAAGCTGAGGCACCAAAAGTTCCACAGGAACTTAAGAAAACACTTCTTGACAGTGACAGAGGGTGACAGAGCCCTGGCACAGGCTGCCCAGGGAGGCTGTGGAGCCTCCTTCTTTGGAGATCTTTCAAACCCGCCTGGATGCAGCCCTGTGCCACATGCTCTGGGTGACCCTGCATGTGCAGTGGGGTTGGACTAGATGACCTCTGAGGTCCCTTCCAACCTTAAGCATTCTGTGATTCTATGATTCTATGATGGTGTCTGTCATCATGCTCACTGCACTGAGACTAGCACTGCACTGAATAAGTGGTGGCATCTAGCTCAAAAGTTGGAAGTAAACAGTTTCTCCTCGCAAAGGAAGTTATACAGCTTAGCATTGCCTAACTCCTGGCCTTCAACAACTTTTGCTTTACCTCTCTTCTTCTGGACCTAAAACATATAGCATACGACCAAAGTTCTCTCAATTTTTACTAGAGAGAATAACAAAAACTGTCACATTTTTAGAGAAATGGGAACTCTTAATATAACCCTCAGTATTTTTTGCATTAGAGAATACTATTTTGAAACACATGTAAAAAGGAAATAATCCACTTTTTTTTCTCCTATGAATGGTAAAAGGTATACTATAACCTTCTGACTGAAGGAGTAGGTATTAGCTGCTCTACAGATGCAGTGATGCCATTTTACTGCAGCACTGATGCTGTCCATTCTTAGGGCTCACTGCTTTTTGATATAACTAACTATCTTCTAAATTCTTCAGCTTAGAAGTTTTGTACTGTAACTGAGTATCTAGTATGGTCACCTAGAAATTCATTAAAATTGGCACTTTCACAGCATGTGGCTGTAAAAGCTTGAATTTAGGTAGCCATGGGTCCTGATCACTCAGGTATGTTTTCACAGCTTCATGTGTTCCCTTAAATAAAATCCTGTCAGTTCACTGCTGAAAAGTGGTCATGGGTAAGGGCATGTTATCACAAATGTTAGACACTGTATTTAATTAATCATGCAATTCTTTTTAGCTTTTTGCTAATATAACTTGAAAGATTAACATGAAGTCTCCTTTGTATTTCTCTAACAGCAAATTCTGGAGTGTTTTCAGACACCTTATCATGCTTATCTTGTGAGAGGATATAAGCATGACAGAATGCTACAGTATTTTGTAGAAGTTTCTACAGTATTTTGTAGAAACCAGTTAGTAAATTACATCAGAAGGAAAAAAAATCTTTGTGTTTGAATTTCAGTGGCTTAACATAGCACAGTGTTTACTACAGCAACCAAAGTCAGATGCTCTGTCTTTTATCAAGTAAAAATGCTGAATATGATATGCTTTCAAAAAATATTTGTTACTTGAACCTAGTACGTAATAAAGTGTTCATTGCCTGCATAAAAATACCAAGACTTCGGTGTGGAAATTCCAATCTAAATAATTTTTGTTTTTTTTTTATCAGACCATGTAAAAATGTTCCAATGCTTTCTTGAGCACTGCCTGCAGCGCTGCCTATGACATGTTCATTTGGTTTATTTCCGTAGGTGCTTTTTGTATACCTTTGTACATCCCTTATGGCCTGACGGGGAAGTGGCATTTGGGAAGAAGCCTGTGCAAGCTCTGGCTGGTTATGGACTACCTTTTGTGTACAGCTTCAGTGTTTAATATTGTCCTCATCAGCTATGACCGTTTCCTGTCAGTTACAAAAGCTGTAAGTAGAACATTTTAAATTAATTATTTATATATATATATATAAAAATAGATATTTTAATTTCTTTAAAACTATTTTTTCCCTAATATTACTAAAAGCTCAATAGCCCTTCACTGTGGTAATTAAAAGTTTGAGCTGAAATAATTCAACTTTTTGAGAACAGTGCTGGGAAAGGTTCTTTATTCTGAAAACACTAAAGTAGTATGGTACCTTATGTTTTTTTCTGAAGAAACCTTGGTGCTTCAGGCCCAATTTTTAGCAGAGAGGTTGCTATGGGTATGCCTTTTCCTAGCCTGTAAAATTTGCCTAAATATGCAAGCTTTCAAAAGCTTTGTAGAAACTTAGCAGAGGTGGGCAACTTTCAAGATTTTTTTCTTGCTTAAGCTAGATATACTAGAAATAAGATGCTTTTTATCCATTTCCTGGCTGTTGTACATGCTGTGGTACTGAAACATGGGGAAATGAGAAGGTCTTGCTTGAATTCTTAGTGAGAGCAGCTACAGGGAACCATGAGAAGCTGCCTGAGTACAGTACAGAGGAGGTGGGGGTCAAGGTGGGAATGGGGTAAGTGGTGTGGAGGACATGGGCTTTGGTTATTAAAAGACTGGTAATTAAAACTAGGTTAAGTCAAGGAGGTGTCTGGGTTTAGGATAAATTTCTAAAAGGAGAAGGGGGTATGGAGAGAGATGTGGGATGGATTGACTGGAGAATGTACAAGGAACTGCAGTACCACATAGGGTGACTGATGTGCTACCAAACAAGCACTTGAATGGAAACAAATCCTTGGAGGTGAAAACAAGAATAGAAATGCGCAGTGAAGGAGGAGGTATTGATTGAGTTTTATCATTCTCCTGCATCAGAAGATATCTTGGGAATCGGCAAGTAAATATTGACTTTCCCCATTTCTAAGCTCTTACCCGGTGTTCAGCCCAGAAGGAAAGCGAGCATCCTTTGCTGTTGTCGGTCTGTTAGCACAAATGACATGCGCTATGTGGTAGAACTGCAGCTTCTCGTTCAGAAAGTGCTGATAAGAGGCTTTATCTCTTTTTTCTTCCCAGTGTTATGATCTTCAGTTTTTGTTTATGTTTTTGTCGCTGATGCTGCCACTGCTGTTGTTTTAAAGCTGAACAATCAAGTGCAAAAACTCTTGTGTTTGAGAACTGGTAACATTGAGGAATATTAATATTGTTGCAGAATTCATTATGTGAGAAGTGTAAATTAGGAAAGAGTCTGTAACCCAACTGGGCCCATGGTCTTATGCATTGATGACAGTTTTAATGACATGATCGCTTTCTCTTTTCCTCCCCTAGCTAATTAGAATGGAGTGAATCTGGGTGTATGCAACTTAGGACTCTTATTGAAAAGATACCATGGTTCCTTATGGACTTGGGATCCTCCCCTACCTCTGTTTCAGGGCTAGCATGTGGTCAGGGGCCACTCAGACTAAACTTGTAGCAAAGCAACAATGAGCTTGCTGTTTTCTGCCTATTTAATTGAGAAGCCCTTGGTCTTATTGAAAATTCATAATTGCGGTTGATGTGAACTGGAGATCTGCTTTGAGACAATGGTGCTGTAAGATGTAAAACACTGACACTTCAGGCTATAGCTGTTTACAATATGCAATCTAAAATACAGCCTGTAACATGTCCTCATTGCTCTGTTATTCAGTAGTGAAATAGGGGCAGTGATGTGTATCATGCCTTATGCTGTGAAGAAAGCATTCAGTAATATTATGTAGCATGCAGATACCATACTAATAAATAGCACAGGAAATTCAGTGAGGAAGATAATAGTTCTAGATCTCGTAAAGCCTGAGATTACAAATATTGAACAGTGTGGAGAAAATAAAATATTGACCAGCTTCTCATTAACTGATCATCTTCTGCATTGGAAGATACAGGGGCCAAGAGCTAGAAGTATGTGTTATTCTTGCATAGGCCATCAGAAGGGCGGTATTAATTCTTACCCATCCTAAGTTTGGATGACATGATTTTAATTTTTAATATATATATTTTTAAATAGATATTTATTCATGCATAGATAGTAAGATAAATTAAGGCAATCTGGGTAGGCAAAAGACCTTCAACATTTGCAGTAGAAAAAGACCTGTTTACAAGGTAAAGTGAGTGTTAAAAATTGGATACTTCAATAGAGTAAGGACTATTAAAGCATATGTGGGATACATTTTCTTTTATGGTAGGAAGAAATAATATTAACAATTAGATTATCTATTATTTGCAGACTTTCTTGTCAAACTGTCTCATGTAAAGAACTTCTAATGTTGCCAGTGCAGGGAGGAAGTCCCATAATGGTCTTCACTCTTCGTGAAGCCTAAGGATTTCTTGAGTCATAATCTGATTATTAATATTTCTTTACTGTGGTGGTACAAAATCAAACAATATCCTTTCCCTTGGATTTACCATAGATTTCAGGATTATCATAATTTATGTGCCCTTCTCCAATCCTGAACAGTAAAGTCAATCACTGAGCTACAGTATTTCATGCCCAAGATTAACAGAATTTTTCAGGACTGTAGAGAAGCGATGAGCTTCTGGGTGTCTGGGGAACTGCAGAACCAAAAGTACTCTTGAGTAATTTATTTTTTTAAGAGCAACTTGTGCCAAAACGCTCTGTGAATGAGCGATGTGTCCTCTGCTTCCCCCAGGTGTCCTACCGAGTGCAGCAGGGAGCGGCCTCCAGCCCCGTGGTGAAGATGGCAGCCATCTGGGTCCTGGCCTTCCTGCTCTACTGCCCGGCCGTCCTCTTCTGGGAGCACGTGGCCGGCTGCAGCGTGGTGGCGGAGGACGAGTGCTACGCCGAGTTCTTCAGCAACTGGTACTTTCTCCTGTGCGCCTCCACCGTGGAGTTCTTTGTGCCGCTCGTCTCCGTCACCTACTTCAACGTGCACATCTTCCGGGACATCCAGAAGCGCCAGAGACGCGGCAGCGTGTCGGACGGCGAGCCGGCCAAGAGCGGCGGGCTGTCCTGGAGAGCTTGCCTCTTGCCAAGGCAGGGCTTGTCTTCTTCAGAAACAGAGGACAGTGTTTCGTCATTAAATAGGCCATGGAAACTTGCAGGTTCTTCTCCGACACGAACCAACTCCATAACTCTCAAAAACGATGTCTCTGCTTCTTTCCGTGCAAAATCCAGATCAAAACTGCAACGAGACAAGAAAATTGCGAAGTCTCTTGCCATAATTGTGTGCATCTTTGCCATTTGTTGGGCCCCTTACACGTTACTAATGATAATTCGTGGGGCCTGCCAAGGAACCTGTGTCCACAACTCCTTGTATGAAATAACCTTTTGGCTTTTGTGGCTCAATTCATCTTTGAATCCATTTCTCTATCCTCTCTGCCATATGAGGTTTCGAATGGCTTTTGTTAAAATATTATGTCCACAGAAGTTTGCAACATTAAGATCAGGTAACACACCTTCTTCTTAGAGATTTAAAGCAAAGGACTTACAGATAAATTTCCTCTCTTACTTGGTGCTTTTTAAAATATATTTTCAGCAGGAACATAGGAAAAGCTTTTGTTCATTGATGATATTCTTTGAGAGTGCAGCAGAGGCATGTACTTGCTCCAAATTTTTTACAATTTGTTTTCACTAGTATTGTGCCAAGATAAGAATGATCTAGTGCAAAGAAATATATAACAGCATTTTATTTGGAGTCCTTTTTGGGTTGTTAGTGGATTAGAGTCTTTCTCTCTGTCTTTCTCTTTCTTTCTCTCTTTCTTTCTCTCTCTCTTTCTTTCTTTCTTTCTTTCTTTCTCTCTCTCTCTCTCTCTCTCTCTCTCTCTCTCTCTCTCTCTCTCTCTCTCTCTCCCCCTCTCCCTCTCTCCCTCTCTCCCTCTCTCCCTCTCTCCCTCTCTTCCTCCCTCTCTTTCTCACAAATGAGACAAAACTCTTTTCTGGATATCTGCACAGATGTTCACTGAGGGAGATACCTGTTTGTGCACGTGTATAAGAGCCCATAGGCCTTATATGATGCCCACAGTGAGAAATCTGCAAGTGATTAGCATGTCTGTCCTTGTAATATAGCCCATACTTGATGTTGCAGGGCACAATACAAATAAGTTTGTATGTCTGGACCTTTTCCAGTAAATAAATATTTCCATCATAATGAAAATTAGAGATTGGTTATGGAAATAGTCACAGGGGTCAGTAGTTGTTACTTTTTATTACCAATACTACTTTTGCTTTGACAGCAGCTGCCTCTCTGGTAATGCTTTCATGATCTTAAGTAACAGATCTGTGCCCTGTTTGATTATGAAAGAATAGCCAGGCTCGAGTGCGTGTTCACACGCCTGATGAATTAACAGAGCAAGCAATAAAAGTTCATGCTGGATTTATGCTTTTGGCTGACCATGAGAGGGCAGACAATACTCTACGTGGCATAGAGCTGGCTAGTGAAAGGATGCTCCATCAAAGTGTCAGGAACAAATTTGAACTGACAAGAGTAATTTTTATCCCAGACCAGTTCTTTGTTGTGTTATTGTGACAATATGTGGTTTTTCTATGTCACTGAACCACTATCAAGTTGGATTTTTCTCTATCACTGGGTGAGAGCTGTATTCACTGTTAGAGAATGGGATTCACAGAAGTCTGTCTGAAACGAAGGCACATACACAGTTCTGAAAGGAGTAAGTAGATAAGCTGGAAAGTGCAATGGAGCTTGGTTATAACTTTTCCTACGCCAAATTTCTTGCTGATGTTGGATGTTGCAACTCACCCAGAAGGCTTTCATGGATGGGTAAGTAACAGTCACCAGTTATGTAAATGGAGAGGAGAAAAAAAAATTTCCCTTCCTCCTTTGTATATATGTAAAAATGTATAAAATATAGAAAGAAAACCAATCTAATGCAGAGAATAATGCACAGAGGCAATTTGCAAAATCTTATTTGAAATAAATATCTAATTTCAAATTGGTTGTTGAAATGTTGCAAAAGCAGAGCTTTTCTTTGTAAGCATGGTTCAAATGTATTTAAGCAGCTTAATTATAACACAAAAGTTAATGGCTTTGAGGAACTAAAATGCATTCTATTTAGAGCTTTGTGACTGAGGACTTCCTTTGCAGTTATATTTCACTATTCTTGCTGTGCTTCCTTGCCTTATATGGATAGTGTTATGCCTTGTGAGCCTGATTGCTGAGAGGAGCCTTCAGCTTCAAGAGGACTCTGATTCAGCACACCTATCTTCATTGTCATGAGTTAAGGAACTAGCACAGATTTATTCATTTTTTTTGCAAGGCTTAAAAAAAATCAGAACATTTATAGACTACTGCTGTACTACATAAATGTCTGTTGAACAGAGAAGTTGTAGGTAAGCCCAAAGTATTTGAGCTGGCTGCTTTTCTATCCCTATACTTTTGGAATAAAAATTCTTATGTAAGAGAACTGCTTGCATTTTATGAATAAAGAATGGGTTGATTACTTTGAAAAAAAAAGGCCTTCATAATTGCTGGCTAGGTAAATAGGATCCAATCTTTGAAGGATGGGAGGGGGAGCACAACATGCAGCAAATCTAAAACCACTTAGAGGGGAGTGGTGAAATTACTACAAGTCAATATTTTTGAGATTTTGTGTTGCACCTAGTGTTCACACCGTTTTGTCATGCCATTTGTTATTTGAAAAGATAGTCATGTTTTTCTAATCTGAGAAATTCTTGCTCTCCAGCACCCAGGATAAATCAAATATCTGGATACTTAATGCTCACAGCATTAAAGCTGTCTTGACCAGTGTGGTATTCTAAAAGTCTTCACTCTATCAGACAGTTTTCAGGGTCATGCTAAAATGTTTGTTCAGTATTTGTTTGTGCACCTTTAATGTACTGACACAAGTATGCTTTGTTTGCCAAACTGATTTGTAGGCAAAGTCCCCCCATCCGCTCACTTGCTCATTCGGTCACCCCTTTCACTCTTTCATTCATTGCATTCCCTTCTGTCTTTGCAGATGTCTAATTGTTAGTGTAAATACAAGGTTGGGAGTAGCCTATGAGTGTCAGTGAGGTTCATCCTGAAGCACAGTAGCCTTTTTCTGCTTTACTCTCTCAAGTCTTTAACAAACAAACAAAAATAAAACACTTGTAGAAAATGCTTTTACCTGTTATTTTGGTCAAATCTTTAGCCCCAGTGATTTTCATGTCTGTCTCCTTTATGTTAGTATTTAATTTTCATCCCCAGGGGGGAAGAAGGAGAGACTGCAGGGGTTTTTCCTACAGCCCCATCAAGAATTGTAAAAGAACTTCAGCCTTCCATTTGACCTCCCTATTTAAAAAAAAAAAAAAAAAACACAAGAGACTGACTGTCCTCTGATGACAGACTGACATCCACTGATGTCAGTGAGAATCTTTACTTACAATGGCACATCTGACATGGCTTCAAAGCAAGATTTAGAGTTATGGTTCAAAAACTCTGCACCTCTTGCATGCATTTACAATCAGCCACTTCATCATAGGATCATAGGATAGGTCAGGTAGGAAGGGACTTCAGGAGGTTTAAAGGCCCCACTGCCTGCTCCAAGCAAGTTCAGCAGTGAGATCAAGAGTCTGTCCCTTCTGGTGCTGGGATGCTGCTGCTAGGTCTGTGATCTCCTGTTATGTGGTGTGGCTATGGTCTGTGATGTGTTATCTTCACACTCCCTGAAGGTCTCTTGGAACTCTTTCACTAAGCAAAGAGAACTGTGAGACCTTGACAGTGAAGAGGGAGGCAAAGAAGACATTAAGTACTTCACCCATATCTGTATCTGCTGTCACTAGATCACCTACCACATTCAGCAGTGAGGCCACATCTTCATTATTCACCCTTTTAATACTAATGGGTGGTAGATGTTCTCTGCATGGGCCTTGACATCCTTTGCAAGTTTTCCTAGACTACGCCACAGGGTTGGATAATATTTTGAAGTTCTTCCTTGGTAGCTTGTCCCTACTTTCAACTCCTCTACACTGCCTTTTTGTATTGTTGTTCCACTACAAGCTCTCACCTGATAGGTCTACTTGTTTTCCTGAGAACTGAGATGCATAATTTTTATTTTTGGAAGATGCTGTCCTTAAAGGCCTGCAGGTTTTCTGAGCTCCTTTGCTCTTCGGAGGTGCCTCCCATGGGATCCCATCTACTAGTTTCTTGACTACATGAAATCTATTCACTTGAAGTCTGGGGTGTGTGCTCTGCTACTCTCCTTCTTCACCTCTTTAGTAACTGGATCACTGCTTAGTGATCCCCTGAGCCAAGGCTGCCACTCATTACACTACCACAGCTAGTTTCTCCTTGCTAGCCAATAGCGGATCCAGCTGTGTGCCACCTCCCAGTGGCCAACCAGTTATTGTGTCAAAAAGCTGTCACTGACACTGTTCAACAATCTTTTTGACTGCTCTTCCAGCAGATGTCATGAAGATTGAAGTCCTCCATAAGTAGTGGGGACTGTGAGCCAGACTTCCTTGACTTGCTTAAAGAGGATTTCATCCACTTGCCTTGTTAGGGTGGTCTGTGACACTCTCTCATCATAATGTCACCCATGCCACTGTCCTCTTCTCTGACCTTGTCCCACAAAATTACAATCAGGCTGTTGTCAATCTCCATGTATTCAATCTGCTCACGCACACAAAGAGAAACTCCTCTTCCTCATCTTCCCTGTCTTTATTGACATGCTTGTATGTGTCCATTGCAACATGCCAGTCATGTGAGCTGACCCACCACATCTGTCACTGCAGCAATGCTGTGACTTTGTGATGGCACACAGAGCTGTAGTTCCTCCTATTTGTTTCCCCAAGATGCCACGTTGGCCTCTGTCTCCTGCAGGGATGTCTCTAATAGCTATCACCCAGCTTTTCTTCTTGTGTGAGCACTTGGTTGAGCCTCAGCTGGCTCTGAGGCCCCATCTGCTCTTTCTCCTCCAAAGGCCACCCAGTGTTGTAGCTCTTAATTGCTCTTTACAATATATTCCCCTGTGCCCTGCAGCCTCTCACCTCCCTAGCCTATCCAAGTGCATCTTTCTGTCCTTGTTTCTTGCCCTGTGTCTTGCCATGCACCCAGCATCACAGCCTCAGTCTGAAAAGAACGGTTGTAGCCTTGCTGTGGTGCTGGGGAGCTGTGGGCATGAATCATGGTCTGCCACTTGGTCTGTTGCTCTTACCAGAATAACCTAAATGATGAGGAGGAAGGGATGGACCTCCTCACACTTGCAAAGGGCTAAGAGTTTGGCATTTTGTGGAGGAGAAGATTGCTTGAAATTACTTGCAAAGGATTAAATAGGCTAAGCCTACGAGGTCCTCTAAAGCACAGGTATTTGGTTTTCTGTACTCGAGGCTACACTTGTGTTTTAATTAGTTTGAGTTCAGAAGACGTTGATGATACTTGATCTGTGTATAAGCCTGAATTTTAGATGCTCTTAATCAGCAGCATTAAGAAATATACATCTCTGTTTTTAACTTAATTCACATAATTCA